ACCTGGACCCCCAACTTGAACTCAGGACTTCTCCCCACTGCCACAGTCCTCCACTCTCTGGAAGGGTGCTCACTTAGCACTGTTGAAGCAGTTCCTTCCTTGCTTCCCTCATGCACCCAGCCTGCGCTAAGTGTAGACAGTGGGCACCCTGCGGTGGTGTGGCATCTGCCTTGCTGAGTGGTGTCTTCTGTGCTTAGGCAAGGCCCTGCTGAATGAGCATACAGTTGTTACCTGAGCTGACCTAAAACACAGCTTTTACAGCCCTTTGAACATTTAGCTGCTTCTCTGGGGTTTATTTTCTGGTTATCTTTCAATAATGAGATATTAACTTGTGAGGGATCTTCGAGATCCCTCCTCTTCCCCTCCCTTTCCCCTTTCTTTCTTTCTGTCTGACTGTCTGTCTCACTGTGTAGTTCTGGCTGGGCCTTGAACTGGATTATGTACTCCAGGCTGGTCTCAAGCTTACACATCTTCCTGCCTGAACCTCCTGAGTGCTGGGATTACAGATGTGTACCACCACTCCCTGCTTCTTGGAGATTCTTGGGTCCAGGTCTCTTTCTCTAATTGCTCCCTGCCATTCCCTTGGTTTTTGAGAAGGAAAGATAATTGCTTCATGTGACTGTCTCATTTATCTATATGTAGGGACCCAGGGGAAATTGCTTTTTCAGACTGGCTTGCTCTTTTATCTTCTTTAAGCTCCCTGCACTGCTGCCGGTGGCCTGCTGAGGAAGCCTAGGATGGGTGCCAAGTCCAGTATCATCAACAAGACCTGTGATTAACAATGGACCAGCCTTTCTCATTAACCTTACTTTTTCTCTGAATCATTCCATTTAACCCCCTCTTCCCTTCTCAGGCTGAAAAGTTTCACTTCCCTAAAGCCCCTAGCCTAGCGTGTAATATATGCAGCTTTGTGTATGTCTTGGATTTGTGTGTTTTAATGAGGAGCTTTTGGAATGACTTTGCTCTCTTGGTCACATCAGTGAACACGGCATCTGATCTTTGCTGTGAGGTCCTTTTAGGTCAGAAAACATTGAAAGTGATCTACTGAAGTCTCTTCATTTGAGAACAATTGATGGAACAGGTACAGAAGAATTAGTAAGCCTAGAACCCAGGTGAGTTGGTGACAGGTTAGAGATGAGAGCCCAGGTCTTGCTAGACCAAATGTACTTTCTGTAACAACCTTTGCCCTGCCAAATTCCCATTCCACACTAAGAACTTTGTGAGTCATTTTTTAATACAGTCTCCCCTGTAGGATCAGTGTTTCTGGATACAGCCAACCAGTTACCTCTGTATTTAGTGTGTGCATGTTTTTCTTGTCTTTATTCCCTTAATATGTGTAGCAGTGATGTACATAGCATTTACATTGTATCAGACATTACAAATAATAATACCTAGGTAGGATTTAAAGTAGACTGGATCATGTGCATAGGTTATATGCAATTAACATTTTGTGTAAGGGATATGAACACCCAGAAGTTTCGGTATCTATTGGGAATCCTGGAACCAGTACCCTGCAAACACACTGAAGAACAACTGGCCAATTAATACTTTAAAGAGTAAATGTGGAGGCCGAGCAGGAGGATCACAAGCTGAAAGCCTACCTGGCTGGACATGTTAGAGATATTCTGTAGCAAAATGAAAATAAAAAGGGCTGAGGATGACAGTAGGTAGCGTGCCCCTGAGTTTAATCTCTAGTCAGCTGATTGGGAAAGCAGAGAAGAAGGCTGTCACTTGTTTTTCCAGCTGTAGCTGGCACCCAGCTAATTGTGAACCCTAAAGAGGAGAGCAAGTAAAGATGTGATACATGTTTTAAATTTCCCTGGAGATACTCACTGAAGTGATAGTTTGAAGTCAGTTTAATTGCAGCTTTTTAACCCTAACGAGTAACACCAAAAATAAGATTGCTTTTTCTCATTGGTCAAGGGAATGCTTTCTTTCTTTTTCTTTTTTTTTTTTAATTTTATTTAAAAGGAAAAAGAGAAAAACACAAAACAAAACAAAGCGATGTAAGGGTACAAGTAATACAGAACTACAAAAAAAAAAAAACAGTAAGAAATCACCAGTTAATAGATTACATATTATCGTCTTAGAGATAGTTGCTCAAATCACAGTATCAAAGCATGCAAAGTGGACATTCAAACAGTGAGACTGCAAAGAGTTGTGTTCAATGATCCAACCAAAAACATTAATATGGTCAGCTATAACACCCCTAAACACACTTGCTGTTGTATCCTTTAGAGCACTTTTTTTCCCTCTCTTTTTTACAGCAAAATTTACACATTTTGGGTTTTATTACTCCTTAGTTCTTATTACTTTTTTGGGGGAGAGAATAAAGTCAAATATGGCAAAACAAAGCTGTCAGTCAAAACCAAGGATAGACATAGCACATGATATAAAACAGAGTACAAGGTTATCGACAATGGTTATCAACAATGTCTCCTGTTTCCTTAAAAAGAATTGTCTATCTCATTAGATACTATAAAGTTGAACAAAACAGTAGAGAACAAGACCAATAAAACTTAAGCATTGTAAACATTACAGGACTTCCAAAGGAGACAATAGTCAAACCAGAATGGGCATCTTAGTGAATCTTATTGCCTTCAAAGTAGTTGCCTATACCCTCAAACTTGATACTATCACACAGAATGGAACAGAGTCTAATCAGTCAAAACAAGATAGTGGGAGTATTACAGGACTTCAAAACAAGTTAATAGGAAATAAAAAAAAGTTACTATTATATATCCTGCTAATTTTTCCCCTTAATTAAAACAAACATAAGAAATAACTAAATAATTTTTTTAATGAATAAGGGAGAGATTGAGATAAAACAGGACATAACAATATAACAATACAGATCAAAGCATGACTGTTTCAGCAACCTAGTGCTTCACCACCTGGAGGGCTGCCCTAAAACTAGGGAACAAGCACACTGCCTGCTGCTATTCTCCACTCTGTGCAGATACACTGACCTCACAGTGCTGTTGAAATTGAAAATACTGAGATAATCTACAGTTGGCACACCCTCTGTCTTTGATTTTAGGGTCTGAAATTAAGGAACTTGAGGCACAAGTGGCTCAAGAGCCATTTTATACTCTCCGTGGCATTCCTACAAGTTCTTTAGTGGCCATTCCTGGTGTATTTATAACAGCAGCTCACAGTGAGTCGATGGGAACAAATGCCTGCTTGGAGAATATCCAGCTGTGGGACCAGTGTCTGGCTGGAAAAGGCCTATTTCTTTCTTAGTCTGGAACGCTCTTGGACCTGTCTTTTCTAAGTTACAACATAGGTTTAGATCTGTTTGCGGACCTTTCAGTTTTAAAATGCTTACCCACATCAGCAGGTGGGATGGCACAGGCCTGTAATTCCTGCACACAGGAGGCTGAGGCAAGACCATAGTGAGTTTGAGGCCTAGTTACATAGCGAACCCTGTCTGAAAAAAAACAAAAACCCCAAATGTTTGCCCACACTAAAATCTTTTTTTTTTATTGGTACATTTTAGACATACACAATGCTCAAATTCATTATAGGGAATTTGTACCTGTTCATGATATAACTTGATTTTTTTTCCTGCCCTCCCCTCCCCTCCCCTCCCCTCCCCTCCCCTCCCCTCCCCTCCCCTCTCTTCCCTTCCCTTCAGCCCCTCTCCCCCTCCTTCTTTATAAAAGCTTTGTTTCTACTTTTTCCTTTACTTCCTTTCTCTCTCCCCCTCACTGTTTCCCCTTTCCATTGAACATTTTCTTCCTGTTTCACAATGTATGTATTACATTTTGGTCCTTATTTACACTTCCAGTTTCTCACAGCAGAGATTCCATGTGGTTTTTACATATACCCCACCGAAATCTTGGAGACCTGTGCCATTTAGTAGAAACAACATAGGGGACTTGGATTAAAGTAGGGCGTGGTTTGGTTACTAGAGGGGTTGCCCTTGGACAAACTGCGTGACCTCTGTAATTCTCCTGTTCTCCTTTTCTGTAACATGGGCTGCTAATTAGCTCATTTGAGAGAATTTCTTGAGAGGCCATGTGGAGTTGCCAAGAGGTCTCAGTGTGTGGCTGGAGTTGGTCAGAGTTGGGGGCCTCTGGGATGGGGCCTCAGGTAAATTCCATTGCTTCTGCTGAGCAGTTAAGGTTTTTTTGGTGGGTTAGTTTACCGCCTAGAACTTGATCTGTCTGGAAACTTTAGTAATAATGGCTACCATGTGGGTTGTTGGAAGAATTCAATGACATGAGTTAGGTGCCTTGTGTGTGTGCCTCTGTTGTCATCACAAAATACTACAATTTGGCCATTTGTGGTCACACAATGATATCATGCACTGTAGAGTCTCTCTCTGTCTATCTATCTATCTATCTATATATTTGTTTGTTTGTTTTGGTGCTGGAAATCCAACTCAGGACCTTGCTTACCAGGCAGGTGCTATGCTGCCAAGCTGTATCCCTGGCTGAAATGATAATTTTTTTAATGAGGTCCTCATAGTGATGAGAAAATTTAACCAATATTTTTCCCTCCAGGGTGTGGGAAGGCCAGGATGGGGTTAGACTGGATGAAGGTGGTGGGAGTGGGCAGTAGAGGATGTCTATTTGGTAGCATATACCTGCAATTTCCAGCACTCAGGAGGCTGAGGCAAGAGGGTCATCTGAAGTATATTGCAGCAAGACCTGCTTAAAAAAAAAAAAAGTTTAAAGTAGAAGCAGCCAATCTTGGAGGCACTCTGTGCGGGGAGGGAGGGATATTTTTACAGAGAAGAGATTTAGCAATGCAGTGTCTCAAAATAATTCTTGGTGCTAGTGACAGATTAGTTTTATATATACCTTAGAAAGTCTGTAGTCTGAGGGATTTACTATAGCACTGTAAGTTGGTAGATGATTCTAGAGAAAGACTGTGTGTATTTCAAGGTGAAGTGCACCTCTTGTATGGGATGTGAAAAGAATCCAGGTTTATCTGTACTTTTTTCCTATGATCTCTCATGTATGACACTACTTTTTTTTTTTTTTTTTTTCTAGGATGTAGAGAAAGGAAAGGAAACTCACAATTACCTCAGCAAAGAGGAAATCAAAGAGAAAGTTCAGAAATACAACTTAGCTGTCACAGACAAGTTGAAGATGACCTTGGTAAGAACCCTTAATACTGTTTAGGTTGGCATCTTTCAAAAGAGAAACGGAAGTTGTTGAGTACTGTCTAGGCTGATTTCATCAAAAGACAGATATAATTTATCGATGATATAATCTGTATATACAGTGTCTGAATAACATTTGAATAAGTTTAGTGGTTAAGATATGCAGAGCAGGAAAATAGAATTATTTCTGCAGCTTTCAAGATAAATCTGTATTCTGAAGTAGCTTTGTCTGAAAATTTGTAGTTAGGCTAGCCCTAAAAAATGAAACACATTAAAAAATTTTAAGACGAGTTTGCGACCCCTCCTCCTCAAAGGACTTTTTATTTCTTAACATGTAGGTGACAACTCAGATTCTTATAAGACCTCGGATAATTTCTTCTCTTATGTCAAGTAAGTGTGGAATATCAGGGCGATTTTATGCCCAGAGATTGGAGTATAGTTGAGCTAAGATTTTTCTCCACCAGTAGTCAGTGTAAGATGAGGTGCATAAAGTTCAGCTTCTCACACATGAGGTGACGGGCGTTTACACCAACCACTGTACTCACTGCATGAAGCACAGTGGTGAGTGGAGGTATAGCAAGGGCTTGGTGACAGGGAAACAAAACTGACAGCAAAGTTTGAAGCCGAACTGATACTGGTGCCCACCCAGTTGGTGTCCTTCCAAAAGCTCCTATAACCCTGCAGTGCTCCTCTCTAGAATCCTTGGGTCCTGTGAATTGTTGGAGTTTGATAAAGGATAAGTTCACCTGTTTAAAACAGGCCTAGCCAGGCATGGTGACGCATGCCCGTGATCCCAGCACTGGGGAGGCTGAGGCAGGAGGATCACTATGAGTTTGAGACCAGGCTGGGCTACATAAGTGAGTTCAAAGCCATTTTGAATTATATAGCAAGATCCTGTCTCAAAAACAAAAATAAAAACAAAACAAAAAACGTGGCCCATATAATTCTTTGACCCTGGGGAGGAGACACAAAATGTAACCCCTGCCAACTTCATGGTAAAGGTGCCTCCTCAGTGGCACTGTGCCACCAGCAGGAGAATGCAAGATAACCCAGCAGTATCCTTTGTTATTCCAACAGTGATAGTTCTTTTTCAAAAATATGTTCATCCATGGGGAAAAATTCTATTTACCATAGTTTTTTTATTTCTTTCCTATGGAGAGTAAAACAGTGCAAGTTTCCTTGGTTTTTTGTTTGTTTTGTTTTGAGATAGAGCCTTGCTTTGTAGTTCAGGCTGGCCTTGAACTCACTGTTACTTCAGGCTGGCCTCAAATTTGTGGTAATCCTCCTGCCTCCACCTCTGAGTGCTGGGATTACAGATGTGCACCATCTCCATATTGTTTCAAAGATGAAAACTTTTAAGTGCTTTACAGTACTTTATTAAAAGAATGACAAGGAAATTTATATTATAAATTGATCACTTAGGAGGAAGAAATGGACCATAAAGGAATTTTTTAAAATTTAAAATATAAAGGAAGTTTTTATCAGTACTGGGGATCTAACTCACAGCTGTGCACTTGCAAAGGCAGGCACATAATGATGTTGCTGAGCTAAATCCCCAGCCCCTAATAAAGGAAGTTTTTAAAGCTTTACTTCAGCTATGGTATTTATGTATATAGCAGTACCTGATGACATTTTACTAAAACATGCTAATAATTATTTTCTAAATAAAATAAAGACAAGAGCATTATTATTGTTTTGGCAACCAAGAAATAGTAATTCTACTGTAAATTAAGACAAGAAATGGTAATTCTACTGTAAATTAAGACAAGTAATAGCTGTAGTTAATGTAGCTTGAAATTTTCTTTAAAAATATTAATGCTTATATATTATATACAGGCACAAATTCCCTATGATGAATGTTACCCATTTTGTATGGCAAGTATGTACTAAGAAAAATAAATTTAAAACGTTGCTGCTTAGGGCAATCCTACATTGTGTAATAAACATGGCACATAACAAGGTTTAAGTAAAATTGGTAATAGCTTATACATACTGGTAGCCACATCGCTATATAGTTCAGGTCAGCCATGAGCTCTCTGTAGCCCAGGCTGGTCTCAACTTTGCAGTGGTCTTCCTGCCTCAGCCTCCCAAATGCTGGGATTACAGATGTGTACCACCACACCCGTCTGTCTGTTCATTGTTGAATCAGGTATTTGAATCTTGACTGTGGCCTTCCTATTTGTATAGCTAGTTATCAGTTGAGGATATTGTTTTCTTTGAGCAGTAAGCCTAGACATGTCCCCAGGCCTGCCTACATTTTCAGTTTCATCAGTTGGACTCTAACTCCACAAATGGGTACTGACTTTTCCCACAACCTTTGGGGGCTTGAGTCCCACGCTGGTGTGCTGGAGGGACAAGGTATCTTTGGTTGCCATATCTGCCCTGCAGACCTGATCTCTGGAAGTGCTTTGCCATCACTGCTGTGTGTTATCCTCCCTCCAAGGTCACGCCCTGAGGTCAGTCTTCATCTCCTGCTCTAAGAGAAAAGAGCCAGAGCAAGAGGGCTCCTTCCTTTGCCTTCGATGCCCGAAAGCACCTTGAGCCAGCTAGCTAAATGTGCTGTGCCTCTTCTTGCCTCTTCAGAATTCAAATGGGATTTACACTGGCTTCATTAAAGTGCAAATGGAACTCTGCAAACCTACACAGACGGCTCCAGGTAGCAATGGCTGTATGAACACGCTTCACATCAGCAGCACAAACACTGTCGGGGAAGTCATCGAGGCCCTGCTTAAAAAATTTCTCGTGACCGAGAGCCCGGCCAAGTTTGCACTTTATAAGCGTTGTCACAAAGAAGACCAAGGTATGCTGCTGTGTTTAATTTGAGGGTGGTCTCTGTTTCTGTTTGTCTTTTGTCTGCAATCACAGAGGGAAGACTGATAGGTTTATCTGTGTCATATTGTGTTGGGGCCCATGGACACATTTAAGAGGCTGAGGTCATCATAGCAGGTACTTGGCATTTCCTAGCTATTAATGCTTTAGGTTTCTAGAGGCATCCATGCGTGCTGAGCATTTATGTAGGATTTGGTGATGTGTGTAACTTCGATTTAAGAGTAGGGAGAAGTGACAAAAGAATAGTTTTGGCCAGGCAGGGTAGTACATACCTGTAATTCTAGCTACTTGGAAGGCTGAGGCAGGGGGATCAAAAGTTCAAGGTCAGCCTATCTCAAAATTAAAATAAAGGGTTGAGGATGTAGCTCCCCACTAGCATGCACGAGGCTCTGGATTTAATTCCTTGTACTGCAAAAACAGCCAAGAAACTTTTGTGATTAAAGTTTTAAGTAGCACATTACACATTTCATATCTGCTTTCACATACAGTGGCTTGGTGGACCCACGTCCTTTGGGTTTTTGCAGATAAGGTGGCATGTGTGTAGCACAGTGCCTTTCAGCATATGGCTCCATATGACCCTGCCCCATTTCCTTAGCTGTCTATTGAGCATTACGCTGAGACATTTTGGTGTCTTGTGTCCCAGAAGCATATAAAAACAAATGAATGATGTTCTGTTCTGGGGTCTGTCTGAACTTCATACCTACATTGAATGTATAGAAAGAATATTAAATCACTCCCATGAAATTGAGTAAGCCAGTTAGGCAGCTGAGCAGAAATTGATATGTGAACATCAGTGATTTCATGATTCACTGTATGCTAATTTGGAAATGCTATGTGTGAGTAATAAACTGTTTAAGCTTTCTTTAGTTTTTCTGGGTGAAAACTAAAGCAGCTATAAAGAAAATGTAATGACCTTGACATGTTAATAATGTCCTTTAGTTGCCTAGGATTAAGCACAGCTGGCTGCTGAATGTGCACATTTATTTGTTGACCACTTGCCATGGGGTTGGCCCCACAGAGCATAAAAACAGTTCAGGGTTCCTTGGCTCCAGAGGCTACAGGCTTAGCAGCCTGGGGCTGTGTGCGTCACTGGGAAGTGGGACCTGCAGCACAGTCACATCCAAAGTGCCAAAGTAACTACTGAAATGCAGTTGACTTTTTAAAAAATTTTATTTTAAAGAGAAAAAACAGATTTTCAAAACAAGCTAATGGAGTAACAATGGTTAATACATTGCGTATTGTTATTCTTAAATTACTCAACGTACGACATATAGGCATTTCGTTGTCCAAACAATATTAGTGCAAATCAGGTGACATTTTTTTACCTTGCCAGCTTCACAAGCTCACCTGGATTTGAGCTGTACAATTGTTACTCTCTTGCAAATCTTTCATTGTGTGTGTGTGTGTGTGTGTGTGTGTGTGTGTGTGTGTGTGTGTGGAGAGAGAGAGAGAGAGAGAGAGAAAACTGCCTATAGCTGTAGTTGTGCTTGCAGCCAGCAGAGCCTTGATTTCTTATTTAGTTTTGTTTTGCTCTGTTTGTTTTTTGATAGTGGGATTAGAATCTAGGGCCTTCACACTGAGCCACATCTTCAGCCCTTTTGATTTTCCTTATTTTGAGTCAAGGACTCATTAAATTGCAGAGGATTAAAATGTAGTCCTCTTGCATCAGCTTCCCAGAGTACTAGATTTCAGACTGTGCTGCCATGCCCTGCTATGGCTGTCAGTTTTTACTGGTTCTAAAGATTTTGCCTACAGCTTTGAATTAATGTTCCTCAGGTATATTTTCATTGTTTTGAAAGGAGCTGGAAGTTGTATTTTCGCTTTGGTTTTTGGTTTTTTGAGACAGGGTCCCTGTAGTTGAGGCTGGCCTTGAACTTCTCGTGATCTTCCTGCCTCAGCCTCCTGAGTGCTGGGTTTACAGCCATGTGCTAATGTACCAGGCGAGGTTCAGTTTTTTTTTAAAGAACTTATCTTTAAAAAAAAAAAAAAAAAAGGAAGAGCAGAATAATAAATTTCAAACTTTTTTTGTTTGTTTGTGGGGTGGTTTTTTTTTTTTTCTTTCTTTCTTTTTTCTTTTTTTTTTGAGGCAGGGTCTTGCTGTGTAGTAAGTAGTTGAAGCTGGCATTGAGAACAGGCTAGGCTGGATCTTGCAGTGATCTCCTGCTTCAGCCTCCCAGGTGCTGAGATTACAAGCAAAAACCACTCCACCCAACTTTCAAATATGTTCTGTGACTAATACTCATTTAAATTATTCTTGGACATTATTTCCTCATTGGTCAAGGCATAGTTTATGTTAAGCAGATAGAATGGAAGTGGAAGGGTTTTGTTCCACCCTGAGCTTTTTTGGTGCTAAGATGGGGAGGATGACGGGGCTGGAGAAGCGGCTCTCCCTTGGTCTGGAGGAGAGGCAGCGATGGGTGGACCTGTCTGGGATCGTGAGATCTGCCTGTAACATGCGTTTCCTTACAGTCTATGCCTGCAAGCTCTCAGACCAGGAACATCCTCTCTACCTGCGCTTGGTAGCAGGGCCCAGAACCGACACGCTTAGTTTTGTGCTCCGGGAACATGAAATTGGAGAGGTAAGTGAGTCTCGGTGCGGATTTTACACTGTGTGGAACACTGGCCTTGTTTTATTGCTCCAGTTTAGAGACTTGTCCAAGCAAGGGAAGTGGAGAAGGGGAAGAGGGGGAGACTTAGCATTGCCTGAAATGAGCCCAAAGTTAACCTAGAGTGTAATTTTCTCACAGTATTATAGTGGTCTGTACATTTCAGAGGTGGGAGAAGATAAAAATTTTTCTTTGTCCCCATCCAGAGAGTCATTTTTGCCCCATCCCATCACCAGATGACTCTGACTGCACTTTGAAAGTTGACACTCTCCATATGTCTGCCACTAAGAAAAGTCTCCAGGCTAATTTCGTTCTAAAGGGAAATAAAAGGAAATCTGATCTCTTTGCCACCATTTAACTTTCTAGAGCCCTTTGTTTTCCTTTGCCCAGCCTGATAATTAAGAAATTACGTTTACTTTATGCATTGTTTGCCATTTTTTCTCCAGGGAGAATTGTACTTAGGCCAGTTTAGGAAGAAAAAGCTCTTTGGACTGCCCTCTGGATCCACTGTCAATTTTAAATGACACTCAGAGCACATGTGTCAGGCTCTGGGCCTCAGCCTCCTGTTGGGAACAGGAAGTAGTGTGAAGTGAGAATGAGATTGCTAGGTTAAAAGTTAGAAACCAGGACTCCATGCCTATAATCCCGCACTCAGGAAGCGGAGGCAGGGGACTGGCTTTGAGTTCAAGGCCTGTCTCAAAAAGAAAGAAAAAAACAGAAACCAGGACTCTGCTTCAGGCTGATTGTTAGATCTGGATCATGACATTGGATGAATCTTCTAATCTTTCAGCCTTGTGTTTTAAAATCTGTAGAAAGTGGCCTAAATAAAAGGTGCTTTTTAGTCACAAATGAGAGTGTGCATAAACATGGTTAAGTAGTGTGTTTAAATGTAAATGAGGGTTTGTTCAGGCACTCTTAGGAAGACAGGGATTTGAAGCAGTTTGGAAGCTTTGTAAGAAATCCGGGCTTTTATTTTGGGTAGAAGGCAGAGTGCGGACATCTCCCTAGGTTTTATAGTTGGCAGTATTTCCTCTGAGAACCCTGCCCTGAATGTGTTAGCAAGCCTCTGGTTGGTGTTTTATTTCTCTTGTTATTGGACTTCTAGCGTTTAGCATTATTCAGTGTGATGAGAGCAGCCTTGTGGGGAGTAACTAGTTTTGAAGTTAGCATTTTGCTTTAATGTTCCAGAGTGCTTTTATTAGACCTATGTCTGGGCTCTTGATTCTCACTTATTTAAAGGAACATAACTGAGGGAAGAAACTTTCCACAGCTGCTAGGGCTGGAGGGAGAAGGTGTTTTTTAATGTTTTAAATTAATATTTTAAAAACCTCTTATTTAATATTTTAAAAACCTTTACACATGTGAAAATTGGTGTATTAACAGAATTTTCTAAGGTAAAAAGTTGTGGTCTCCTCTGTTTTTCTCATTTGCTTTAATAACCTGCTTCAGCTTGCTTCCAAAGAAGCCTGGTGGCCCCCTTGGTGGTTTTTTCCATGCTCTCTTCATGCATCTAGAGAGGATTGTCTGGAGTCTTTCTCTGCGTCACTAGACAGCATTCCTGGCCTTGGCAGTGATGCTTAGCCCCAGGCCCCTTTGGGACTGGAAGATGTCAAATACTCTCCGTGACATTCACTGCTTTAGTTGAAAAAGTTTTTAAAAATTACCAGGTGCTGTTTGGGAAACAGATCAGAGACCTCAAGGACAAGAGACAAATCCCAAACAGTGGCAATGAGGTGAGGTTCAGAGGTGGGAGACATCAAAGAATTATAATAATTTTAAAATTTTTTGTTGTGGTGGGCTTTTATTGTGGTGGTGTGTACCTGTAATCCCAGGATTCAAGAGGCTGAGGCAGGAGGATTGCTTTGAGTTCAAAACCTGGACTATAGTGAGCTCAAGGCCAGTCTGAGCCACATATAAAATCCTGTTTCAGAAGACTCCACCAAAAAAAAAGTCTTGGTTGTGATCAAAGATATGAATGGCCTAGTGAGAGTTTCTGGCTGGGACAGGACAAAAGGAAGTCCTGGTGGCCTTTTTAGAAAAAATGGCATTTGGGCCAGGAGTTTTAACTCAGTGGCAAAAGCGCCTTCTTGGCAAGGGTGAGATCTTGAGTTCAATCCCTGATACAAAAAAAAGAAAGAAAAGAAAAGAAAAGAAACCAAACAAAGTGTCATTTAAGCTTTGAATTCACTGGGCCTCAGTGAACTCTGCTCAGTTGAGCAGGGAACGTGTACCGAGTCACTTGGGAGATGGTGCTGGAGAGGTTTGAATCTGTCAGACTTAACCTGAACAGCCAAGAGGAGCTGGCAGAATGCTTTTAAGCAGGACCCAGCCATGACTATGACCATTTGGCAAACCATTGGCTGAGAGTGGAGCGAAGGGGCCCGGATGTAGCTCAGGAGGCCCCTGAAAGGGTGCAGGAGTAGATGTTGGAAGCCAGCACTAGGGGGCAGTAGGGATGGAGAAAGCACCTGAAAAACTACTTGGGAGGCCATAAGGTTGCTTGTGAGAGAAGACAAGGAGGACAGCGACGATCACGATTCTCAGTTAAGTGCAGGGAGTTGTTTCTTAAGTCTTGGAGGTGAGGAACCCTTGCCTTTATATCAGGTGAGGAACGAGGAAAGTGTCTTGTAGAGATACTTGTGTGGAGGCGTTCAGCAGTGAGCTCAGTTGGGGAATGGACTAGGAAGGGAAGTGAGCATTTGGGGTGAGCTGAGGAGTGAGTAGGGGTGCAGGTCAATGCTTCTAACTCTGCTGAGAGCCCCAGATCTGTGTCCTGTGGCTCTTGGCTTTAGGACCAGGAAGGGGAGAATAGCTACGCCTCTGCACCCATGGGGGGCATTCCTACATCTTGACACTGAGTTTTACCTGGCATTTTTCTGTTCTGTATTATTGCACAGTGGGAAGCGTTCAGCCTTCCAGAATTGCAGAATTTTTTGCGTATCTTGGACAAAGAGGAAGATGAGCAGCTGCAGAACCTGAAGAGGCGTTACACAGCCTACAGACATAAGCTGGAAGAAGCCCTGGGCGACGCATGGAAGCCTGGCTAATGTGCGGGAGACCTGCCAGGAAGGCATGGCTCGGGACCTCTGTGTAAAGGAACAGCAAGTGCCTTTTTGCTCAGAGCTGCCTTCTTGCCCCAGCTCTACGGCCATCCCCTCTTAGCTCTAGATTTAGTTCCCAGCCCCTGGCCACAGGCATATCCTGTACCTGCTTGTCCCTAGTGAGGGGCCCTGCAAGCTTGTTCTGTTACAGCACCGCGGTGTTGCCTCTTGCAAGCTGTGAACCTGCAATCATCAGGAGCATCCTAGAGTGCTTGGAAGCGTGAACTCTGGGTTGATTTTATTTTCTTCTAGTTATTTTAATTATGTGATGATGATGTTAAGCTGAAGGATGTGCAAACAAATTTTTAAAATTTAACAAGGAATCTTGCTGAATACTTGTCACTATGTTGAAACTACCTGTTTTGGTTTTTGTTTTCTGCCAGAGGAAACCATCCATGTGAACTGAAGGGCAGAGAATTCTAGGAACTGTGAGGAATTTAGGACGATGTTGGAGGAATTTGATTAAAGAAAGTAATAAGCAAGTTTAGAAAAAGGGTATGTGGAAGTGAAAGCTCCAAAGGCCACTGAGGAAGGTGGTACGGCTGGTGCAGTGGTGGTAGCGAGCAAAGTGTGTTGCTTGACATGAGGTGAAAGCATTTAGTGTTGAGATACTAAGCTCATTCTACGATTGCTTGATCTACTGCTGTGTGTTATACTGTGGAGACAAGCCAAAGAGGTAGGAGCCAGACCCAAGAGACAGACCTGTGAACTGCAGTCTACTGGAGACTCAGGCTGCTGGAGGTGGGCTTCATCCTACCGGATCTGGCCCCCTGCACATCAGACCCCAATTCTGCCCTCTTGGGATGGAGGGTCTCACTGCTGTAGCAGCTCTGGATAGGTATGACCTGATTGATCCCTGGTAAATCGCATGGATTTCCCTGCAGAGATTGTTTTCCAAGTTGAAAATGAGTTTAGGATAGGGCAGCCATTTTGTTTTCTCCTTGTTAGCTAGGAAGTTTATCAAGTACAGAGCTCACACCAAATTTGTGACAATCATTCCCTCCCCTTTTATTCTTTTTCCTTTCCTTTTTTCCTTCCTTCTTTACCTTTTCTTTCCTTCCTTCTTCCTCCCTCTCCTTTTGAAGTTACTCTGTTACTCTACGTAATGTAGAACAGAGATTTTAAAGATTCAGTCCTCCCATGGCACCCTCAGCTCTAAAGGACTTGACTGCAGGTAGAGGCCCTGAGGAAGGAGGAAAGTCCACATGCAACAGGCCTTCCTCATGGAACGATTTTAATAAAAGTGCATATTCCTTCCAACCAAAGAAATGCATGTGCAATAAAAAGCCTTCCTTTAAAACAGGCAAAATAAACCTCATTTTCTATAGCGATTTGCCAACCTGAGAACGGAGGGCAAGATGTGCTGTGGTTCCCGAGGGGCCTCACAGTCAGTCTGTTTCTAGTTTAGATTTTTTTGTTTATAAATTCCCAAGGAATTGTTAACACTTTGGTGACACCTAATGGATTCTTTGTGAAATTCCAAGGTGCTTTGGTTCTTTGCTTAAGTGAACTGTGCCTTTATTGCATTTCTGTTTCTTCTTGGTGGCTCTTCTGACTTTTCAGAGAATACCCACCTCGTTGGATGCAGATTTAAGCGTAGGTTATGCTGTGCCACACAAGCTGCCAAGGCAATCAGCTCTTCCTAGGCTTTTAAGAAAAACATGGAGGAAAAAAAGAGTAGAACTAGCTATAAAATATGTATGGCACATCTTGTTTAATTTTGCATGTGACTTCTTTTTAGTGCATCAATGAGGTTTTAGTGACATTGTCATCCAACACTTTACCTTAATTGTTCAGGGAATGCCTTCATGATTTTTAGACTAGTTTTACTATTCAGACTGTGGCTTGGGTTTGAGTGTAGTGTTATCAGCCACCTGGTCTTTTAATTACTCATCCCAGTAAATAATAAGAGTTTGTGAAGCATTTGTTTCTCAGATTAAGACACTGTTAGAACCTTAAGTAGTAGTTGATGGGTATCTGTGAATTTTTTTTTTTTTTTACTTGAAGTAGATTGTCTAGAATAGGCACCCTCTGTATTTATCCAGAACCTCGCCCTCTGTTGTGTGCACTACAAGTTGTAATTTGGAAAGCTTACTGTATTGAAATCCTGTCAGTTCAGTTCTTAGAGACTGATGTTGTTTCCCAAACACTGGTATACTGCAGCAGCATTTTTATTGTGTAAAAGGAGGAAATAGGCCCCTAAGGCCAAAGATACTTTTTGTTTTAAACTCATTGTATAAATCCTTGTGTTAAATTAAAACTAAGCTTTGCTGTAATACTGTTTTTCTTCAAAATGTGATGGTACAGGAAAGGTGTAAAATGAAGGGATAGTATTACAGGGGAGCATTTTAAATTGCAGAAGTTAAAAAGTTATAATATTTATAATTTTGATGTTTTATTTTTATAGGGAAGATTTTTCTCCCCTAAAATTGTTTCTTGAATGGCAAAATGATTTCCATTAAAAAGTTGAAGTTGATGTTGGCGTGTTTTTATTTATAATAATATAGTAGATTTTTTTTTTTAAAGTCACAGGAGTGGAGTAGAGGGAACCTACCTACTCCTGCAGATACATGAGGACACATGCTGGAATGCAGTAACTTTTATTAGGCTTGGAACGGCGGGGCACATTGATCTCCCAAATGTCATTTTTCCTTTTGCTTATTCTCTGCAGGAAAATTGAGTCTAAGTGCATTCTGCCCATGCAGTACAAGTACATTCCTAGTTTACTTGTGAACTGTGTATACATTAAAAAATACATAAGGCACATAAGCACTGTAAAAATTACTACTACAAAGAAGGTACCCTGTGATCACTCCAAAGGAGAACTCTCGCCCTCTCCCTCCATTCTTGTGCAGAGGTCTTCAGCCCTTGAACAGATGACTTTGAACAGAATATTTCTGATTTGGTCAGTGAGACCACTTACATGATGGGATGCAGAGTGCGGTCTACATCCTGGGTGCACCTCACCTTTCTAGTGTTCTGCTCTAGGCCCCTGTGGGGAACTGTCTTTACTACCACACTGCCCCCTAGAGGGACTGGTGAAACAGGACCCAGACCTCAAAGAAAAGCATGTCAAGTGCCATAGGTAGTGCTTGGTAACTTCAGTGTATAGATCTGTGATAGAGAAACATGGTTCTACATAGTTTTCATGTTTTGCTGAAATATCCAGAGGAATCCAGTTTGGAAAAATTAACCTGGGCTATAAGGGGTATGTGTTTTGGTACTTTTATTCCTTAAAGAGAATTATGTTCCTGCTCTAGGCTTCTTTTCAGAATTAGTTATCAATTGATAACTTTTAAGTATTCTTAAATTACAAAGATGTAGAATTATATGTATCTTTTGGGTTTTGTCCATGGCTGCTAGCTTATAACTCCTACCCTAAGGCAAGCCATAGGAATTAGAATTTCTCTTCTCCAAGGCTATTTATGGAAAATCTAATCACCCCTTTTCTGTATTGGAGCTGATCATAAAGAAGTTACCGTGTGCTGGAGAAATAGCCGAGTGGTAGGACACTTGCCTAGCATGCAAAAGACCCACAGGTCCATCCCCAGCACAGTAGAGAAGGAAGGGAAGAGGGTGAGGAGAGGGCACCTGCCCTGGAAAGCAGGAATGATGCAACAGGAAGGCCAGGAAGAATCTAGACTGTCCTCCTTGGCTAACTTAACACCGTAGTCTCTTTGATCATATCCTTTTTATCCAGTCATGCCTGCTACATGGTTGTCTGTGCTTATGCAGTCAAGTCTCCTTGAAAACCTCCAAAGACAGGATCTGAAGATCTGCCAGCTGTCAGAAGACAAAAGAGCTTCCAGAAGGGTGTTGTTCCCAGGGAGGGCATGAAAACTCTGCCTTCTTCCTTTATCTGTAACTTAGAAGAGTAAAGGTAAGAATGTGTTCCCCTGAGCCATGCTGTAAGTTAGTAGAACACAAGAGGATTGTGGGAACCACGACTCACAGTCCATGGGTCAGAGGTCAGGTGGAATGACCTGAGGCTTCCAGTTAACATCTGAAGAAGGCACGCAGTCCAGAGATAGCTCTCTACCTGCGGGGTCTGACCCCATCTCCATGTAGGCAGTGTCACAACCAACTGGGATTAGAAGACATTCACCTGGTGCCCACTGCAGAGCTGATTGCTTGCTGGAGAGAAATCCCCACACCTTTTGGGGGTCACAGAAGTTACTGTTTTGAGCATGTAGTAGAAGAAACTGAGTTGAATTTTATTTTTTTAACATGAGAGTTATACACACGCATTTCAGATACTATCAGATGATCCTCATTAGGTGTACTGTTTTATTCAAAGAGGATAAAACATGATAACCAGTGCCAACAAAGTACTACCTACTACCTACATGCCAGGCATTGTTCTAAAAGCTTCATCTGTATTCACTCATCTACTCCCCCAAGAGGAAGTTAATTGCTCCATTTTACAGATGGAGAAAACGTAATATTCAACTTGCCCTGGACACAGTGGTAGAGCTGGGAATAGTGGGAATAGCCCACTATCTCCATCTTCTCCTTTAACTCCTGTGAAGTGTTTCAGTTCAACTGCTGCTGTGGTCAGGACATACAAGGGAAACAATATAGGACACAATTTATAGAATTATAACATTCACTCAGAATAAATGCAAAAGAGCATGAGAGATTGGTCCACATGCTAAAGAGCCAAAGAATCCAGCTGAGGGCTTGGATCCCCGAGAATGTCCTCTAGTCCAGCTGGAGGCAAACAGAGCACATTATGCAAGTCTCTTATCAAGGATCTGCACTGGGAAGGCCCAAAAGTCAGTGGTGGAAGCTAGAAAGTCTGGACCAGTGGAATGAAGGATCTGTGCCAGCAGGCTGGGGCTCTGCACTGGAGCCAGGACCACAGTTGCCCCAAAGAGAACCACAGTCATCCTCAGTGACAGGCTCCAAGCTTCTCTGATGATGAGAATAGTTGAGTTTGTATCAGGAAAACCAGCGTGACAAACTTCAGGAGGATCAGCAGCACACATCTCCAGTTCTTCTATGCTGTTGACAGCAATCCTTAGGTGGGGCTTCTACACCCAGAACCATGCTGATTCAGTTCAGTTGGGTGTTACTAGTTGACCATTATACTCTGCAATTGCTTATTGGAGAAGCTGCCTGATTGCCTGTCAGGTATTTCACCAGTGGTGAGCAGGCATGTTTTGGTGCAGATGGACTTCATTGATTCAGTGCTTTGTTATCTTGGTTTGGTTCATTTATTGTTCCATTTAGGTGATGCTACTAAGTTCCCTAGAATGAACCCACTTACCTGTGTTTTTGTGTATAGGTCTATTGCACTGGAAAAACCAACATATAAGGAAACCAAACTGTGTTCTCACTGTGCATGGTTCCCCACAGCCACCGGGATAGCTCAAGGAGTCATCAGAAGGGCCACCAAAATTGCCATTGTTTGACTTCCTTAACTATTCCCTAAGCCAGGATTATCTGCAAGGGACACAGGATGGAAGTATTCCCAGTCCACAGTGTACTACTTTCTGACACAACTGTTCACTTAGCAAAGTGTGCAAGAAAGATGCCCTGGAAGCATAAAGGGGCTGGAGAGTATGGCAAGTGAAGGCTGGAAGGGCAGCTGGGTTATCTACTAGTAGGTAAATGTATTAGTACCATCTACTGGGATGGGTTTACATTTGGGCTTGTTGATTTCATTTTGCTTTGCTTTTTAAACAATTTTTCCCCAGTTAATTCTAGAAGATAGGGCTGCGGGTTTCAGCATAAGCACCTGCCTGGCAAGTGCGAGATGGTGCTTGATCCCCGGTTTTAAAAAAAAATTCTAAAAGGTAAGAGTTTTAAAGCCTCAGTCTGAAGTAGTAGTTTCCAAAAGCCACTTGTGATTCTCCTGTTTGGCGGGCAGGGCTCAACAGCAGCTGAACCTTCCTGTTTCTGAGCAAGTTAGCATTTTTAACCTCCAATTGTCTACACATGAAGAGCAAAGCAAGGTTCTATAAGCCTTGAAAGGAGGTAGTATTTGGCTTTGTTTTGGGAAAGGAGTTTTTGTTTTTGTTCTTTAGTGGTACTGTAGATTGAGCTCAGGGAGGAACACTGAGCTATATCTGCAGCTCTTTTTAAAAAATGTAATCTTGAATGTGTCCTGCTAAGTTGTGTAGGGTGGCCTCAAACTTGTGATCCTCCTTAGTACCTGTGATTAGGGCCATGAGTTTTATTTTTGTATTTTCACTGTACAGAGTTGTGGTTATAGTGCACATTGGTCACTAGGGCATAAATCTGGTTGTTTTCTTGATGTGTGTGGTTCCCTCACTTAACACCTGTCTTGTATACCTTTCTCTCTTGCTACCACAAAATATCCAACACACAAAATTAAGGAAGTAAAAGTTTATTTAGCTCATAGTTCATGGAGATTTTAGTCCATAAGCAGCTGGCTCCAAGTCAGGGTGGTGTGGCTGAGGAGCAACGTGGCAGCTGAGGCAGATACCAGAAGCAACAAGAACAACACGTACAAAAAGAGGTGAGCATACCTCTTTTCCTCCTTTATGTTATATGCTGGCCACCTGCCCCAGGGCAGGTGCAGCACTCACACCACCAATCCCAGCACTAGACAATGAATCAATCACAAACATTAGACTTAACCGCCTTCAAAAACTCCCCCTGTCCTGACTGCATGAGGCTTTGGGGAGACATCTAGACACAAACCATAACATTCCACCACTGGCACCCTAAAGACTCATGCACATGCTTCATGCAAAAGACATTTAGTCCATCTCCTAAGAGTTGCCCAAGTCCTAACAGTTTCAGCACTGTTGCAAAGTTCAAGTCCCAAGACTCCTCTAAGATGTAAGGCAAACTCTTAGCTGTGAGCACCTGTACAAATGAAAAGTAAAACACTTCCAACATTCAGTGGCACAAGAGAAACATTACCACCCCAGAAAAGGTGCAAACAGGGATACAAAGGAATGGAGTCAAAGGAATTCCAAAATCCAGCAGGGCAAAGAGTAATTTCTGGAGTTCCACGTTGAGCATCTGAAGCAATCTGGTTGTGAGTTCCAAAAGGCTTGAGTGACTTCACCTCCACAACACTTCCGGCGGTTGCAGCTTCCACAGCTTCTCTCTTGGGCTGGCTTTGCTCCCTCCTTGTAGGTTACCTTAGACGATCCATGCTCCTGGCTTTTCCAAACTTCTGGGTTCTCCACTGCACCTTTGGCTCAGACTCACATCTTCACACACTGCCCTCTTAGGGACACACTGCCTGGCCTTGCAGGCCTTTTGAAATTGGGGTAAAAGCCTTTTTAACCTCAGAACTCTTGCACTCTGTGCACCTAAAACCAGTGCCACATGGGTGATGCTGAGGTCTGCTGCAAACTGGAGCAGTAGCCAGGCTTCCCTCTTCTTGGCTGCAGGGGTCAAGTGCCTGGACTGCTGAGCACTATGAACCTGACTGTGAGGAGAACAAATTCTTTGTTGCCACCATTACAGAACCTGGTGTAGTTGCCGCCATTTTGG